GCATGATCCATAAGGAGGAGAAAATTCAGTCTATTAATCTCTTAAGCCAAAGCTGACACAGGTATTAGAAGTAGCAGGGAAAGATATTGAAACATTATAAATGTATTCCCTGTGATCAAAGCTAAATACATACATGAAAGATATTAAAAGGCAGACATCAAACTACTGAGGACAAAACCTGTAATGTCTGAGATGAAAAACACATTGGATAGGTATTAGCAGATTAGACATGGCAGAAGAAAATGTTAGTAAACTTAAAGGTACAGCAACAGAACTACCCACAATGAAAGGCAGTTAGAAAAAATAAAAGGGAATCAAACACAGTGAAATGAGGACTAACAAGTTACAGGACAACTTAAGCTAGACAACTCCAATGTATGTGTGATTGGAATCCCAAGGGAGGCAGGATCAGAAATATTTGAAGGAATAATATTGAAAATGTTTTACAGTTGATGAAAACTGTAAACCCACCAAGGCTGGAAGCTCAGCAGATGCCAGGACTGGACTTGCCGGCCAGAGCAGTAAGGAAAACCAACACAAAAGAAATAAAAAGGCATCCTAAGTGAAAGACAGAAAAATGTCTTTTTTTGAGGGTGACACGATCACCTATGTAGAAAATGCGGCATTTTCTATTAAAAAAGCTGCTAAAACTAGTAAGTGGACTCAGCAATGTTACAGGATACAAGAACAGTTTTTAAAAAATCTTAAGACGCTGAGCCGAAGCATCTCATTATGCTTTATTGCTAAGCTACGGGAAAGACTCCTCCACTTATTTTTGTTTTGTTTTGGTTTTAACCTGCTCTGCCCCCTACTCACCAAAAGGAAAGGTCTACTGAATTGAGAACTCTTTTGTTAGGTGACATGTAACCAGTTGCTTTCTTCATCACCCCCTGAACTGAGTGTGACCCCTGCCTGCGTCTTCCCACAAAGGGCTTAGTTCCCCAAGTTGTTTGGCTTTAGTTTTCTTGACTTGGTTTATCGTCACTCTTCTGTTGGTTAGCTCTCCATTGGCCCTGTCCTCTAGGAACTGTGCAGCTCACCACAATAACAGTTATATTTTTGGCTCACGTGAATTAGTCTTGAACATTTTGGCTAAAATAAGTAGAATCCCTCATAGTCCCACACTGCTTAAGGCTCTGGGTCCTTTTATCTTTTTTTTTAACATGTTTCAGTCTGGATTTTTCATTTCAGTATTTTGTTTGTAAAGAAAGCTGTGGACTGATCCCACTTTTGATTATGCTTTTTTAATTTCATGTAGGAAATTTATAAAAGTAAAATTGAAAGCCTAATTATTTATCATCACATCTCCAAAAGAAGAATCAAAGTAGTTCCAGGAAGGGTATAAATGACTTACAGGGTTTTTTTTTTTCCCCCCATAACCATTTTTCCCCCCTTTGGAAGTAAGATTGGGCTCTGGGCCAAGATATGGAAGTTTATTATAGGACTTGGTTGTTTATTTTCATGCAAAATAGATGTTTTTATACCAGCATAAAAAGTTGAAGTTGTAGGGGATAGTCTCACCTGGAGGGGCATGAAATGGATGTAAGACCCCCATTCAAAGAAAAAAAAAAAAGCTTTACATCTAATTTTAATGGGCATGAAAATTCTCTCTTGGATTGAATTATGTTGCCTGACCTGAGAGGGAGAAATGCAGATGTGCCTTCATTATTCAGAACCAGCATAGGTCTGTCGACCTGTGTCCTTAGTCATAGTATCTCACTGTTGCTAAAAGATCTGCTCCACAGTAACCTGTCTGCACCCAGGCAGTATTTTGTCAGACATTTTCTCAAATTTTAGTGTTTCGTGTTCAAGAAAACTCCAAACAGGTTCATTTATCCCAGTTTTTGAGGGACTGTTGATTGCCTAATGATTCTTAGTGCTTTACCAGGAAACCACGACTTTTAAAAGAGAGATGACTTAAAGAGGCATTATTTGGGTTTTTCTGTGACCATGGTGAGTGCATGATAGCTTCAGAAGCTTTTCCAGCTGAAATTATTTTGGCTTTGTCCTATAGTGTAGACATTTGGGGAATTCTAGGACCAGCCACAGAAACAAACTTTCGTAGTGAAATGGAACAGGAAGCTGTTGCATGGACATTGGGTTGCTCTTAGAATCAGTCACCAGGCAAGCTGGAGATGGGGCAGGAGCAGAGTGAGGTGAGTCTGCTAGAGCCAAATCAGCCCGAGAGCCAGTCCTGTGAGAGTCCTGCTGCTAGTTCAGCTGGAGCCGGGGTGCTGTTGTTGGAGCCGCTATCCTGACTGGCAGTGGACACTGCACTGCTCCCCTGGGGCCCGGGCTCCGCTGCGCACCGGCACCGCTGCTGTTAGACGAGTCCTTTAGCCCCGTTCCTGTGCATCACCAGCCTGAGACCCCAAAATCCAGAGTACGTGTGGCCAGTGGTCACGCATCATCTCCTACCTGTGTCCAGGGATCTTCCTCCACCGAGACTCCGAGTGGAAATTCTCCAAACACAGGAAAATGGCGTAGATCCCAGGCAGACAAAAAATGTCAAATGTTCACTCCAGGCAGGGCTAGTCAAGTAGTTGTTTGTGGCCTGGAATAGAGCTCGAGCTGCTGCTAGAGAACCCCTGGGGTGGTTCTCATGGCCCATCTTGAGAGGCATTTCAGAACTGAGGTATTCTCCTACTTAGCAGGAATGGACATTTAAACCCTTGGTTTTGCTGTGATTTTGTGTTTGGTTTTCTTTAATTTGCTGTTCCTGATAATGAACTAGCCCTGGTAAATGTTCTCTTGGTCTAGTAGAATTCTGCCTTTCTACAGTGAGTACAAACATTCCCTGCTGTGTTTATTTGAAAAAGGAGCAGGCATTTTCTATACTTTAGTGGCATATGGTGCTAAGATTTTATCATACTTTCTTATAAAGAGCCAGGAAACTTTCTCTGCTTAAAAATGTGTGTTTATAAACAATAGGCTTGCAGTGAATATTCCCATCTGTTAGGTGAACATGATTTGTGTAGGAATTCCTGTAATAGGTGGAGTACTTTGCAACTTTTTAGTATATTTTTTCCCTGGCGAGACATTAGACTAAAGAGATGGTACAAAACAGCATATGCCTAATATTCATTTTTGTATCTGCTCCTCCCTGTGGTTTGAAAACACTGCTATTTTTGTGCATTAGTACATAAGATTACTATAGAAATTCATAAGAATTTAAAATCTATTTAGGATACTGCAAAAAAGAAAGAGAAAATGGAATGGATAACAATTATTTAAATATGGAAATGTTGCAATGATGAAACTGTTCATGTCGTTTTTCAAGTATGTACTCCTATAACTTGTGTTATTTCATTTCCAAAAACTTTTGTGGACTTCATTGTAACTTAATCTCAAAACTCCTCCTTATTTATAATCATGGTATCTGACAGTTAAAGCTGCTCATCTTTCTAGCCTTGATTTGTAATTTAAATAAATGGCATTGACTCTCTGTGTTCAGTTTGATACTATTCTTATTATCCACACTAATTAATTTTTTGAAATGAGCCATTGCCCAGAATGAAATAAAATTTTGAAGATTAAAACTCAGTAATTTTTTTCATAAAAGATTTTATTAATCTTGTCGTGGGAATATCAAGATCATTATCAGAGGGAAAACATACTTTGATTAATATTTGCTTAGTGCTGAATGACCTAGATTGTCCAAATGTTTTATTCACTTAAAAATTATGCCTTTAAGTTCCGTTTTCAGGTTGACTAATTGGACATACTTGAGTAAAAAGATGAGCAATCAGTTGAATGTAAGCAATTTCAAGCTATGCTTAGGAACTGAGCCAAGAGAGCGTACCGTTCATGGTGATTTTTACCTCATTTTTAAAAGTTTCTCTGATTATCCTTTGTGAGAAGTCTTCTTAAAATGAAGATAACTATTAACAGAACATCTTTGTAATAAAGGACAGCATTGCTGAGTTTTCTCTTTTTTGGGAAATAGGCTACCATTTGATTGGTTGTTAGCTCTCTTTTTCTTTCTTGTGGTAGGCAACTTCCTTTTTGTAAAAAGTGTCCAGGACTCAGCCTTATTCTTGATTTGTTTTTGAACATGGCCTAGAAACCAATTAATGAACTCTCTTAGGTCTTGGGAAAGGTTTGGGCTCTGGAGCTATAACACTCACTTGAAGTGGTCCTTGGCTATAAATTGTACTTGCTTATGGATTTAAAAATATCCTAAGTTATAAAACTAATAGTAAACTGAAAGCGGGGCTTTTATGGAATCTGTATCTTCTAACTACTTTTTTTCCTTCTATAAAATGTTACTGAAGTTTTTAGAAAGGCATTGATTTGAAGGACGTGATTACTTACAGTCATATAGCATTGAAAAATACCAATGAAGTCACCTTTCAGTACCCACAACATTTTTAAAGTAAATGTCAGTCCACATGCGGAGACGGAAGCGAGGGAAGTGTGTGAATTGTTTTGGCAGGAGAGGGGGTCTATAACTGTGAGCGCAGAGGGGAATTGTGTCACCATGTCACTGCTCTCTTTGCCTCGATGACCCCTGTATCTCATCCTGAAAGTGTTATTTGAATTCTTAGGTAGAGTAACATGACACATTATGTAAAGTTTATTGCCAGGCCTAGATATGACTTCTAGAGATTCTGAGAGAATTATAAACACCTTTTACTGAAAGGTCTAGTTTACGCATAATGACCTATAGCTATTTTACATTTGTCATTTCTTCAACGACTTGTGAGTGTTGTCTACTACGTGCATGGCAGTGTGCTAGGTGCCAGGGGCAAGTGATGGACAAGGCAGATCTAGAACCTAGCTTGGGGTATTACTTACTGACAGCCTTGCTGGGGAGACAGACATCGATGACGTAATCTCACAAATGGCAGTTGGTGAGTGTGTTGACCAGAGAAGGATTGCACAGACAATAATTTACCAAAAATAAAATATTTGTTGAGCACTTGAGAAATGAGATGCCAGAGCTGCTCTAGATATAGAAGCATTAACACTTCTTTTTGGTATTTGGCAGGTATATTATCCCGTCTTTACAGAGGCTTGATGCTGGGTTTTACCGCTGTGTGGTGCGAAACAGGATGGGAGCTCTCTTGCAGAGAAGATCAGAAGTTCAAGTTGCATGTATGTGTGCATTGGAAAAGTCTCCGAATGATAAATAACAGAAACAAAATGTCTGTGGGGAATGCTGATCAAAATCACTTTTAACCATTGTAGGAATCGAGATTCTGTCTTGGATTCTCTTTGGAACAGAATAATTGCTAAAGGTTTTGGGAGATACCCGCCCTGGCCATCCAGCAGTCAGGGGCTCTGTCAGGCCCTGTGGAGGACAGAAAACAAAGTATTAACAAGATGCCTTCTGCTTTATGATTAGCTGCTCTTAGCATTTCTGATACTCAGATTCAAATGTTTTTCAAATAACAAATTAAACCCAGTTAGGTAAAATTTTGTCAGTTCAAAATTAGTTCTTTCCAGTGATTTGCTTAAAAATCCTTCAGCTACACAATAAAAAGTAGGTGGATAGTAATGTCCTAGATGGCATTACTGTTAGTGACTTGATGAGGTCTCTATGGGGCAGACCCATTTGGAGTAAAAGTAACTAAGGGAGATACCAGAGTGCAGGGAGTTTGTGTTTGATGTTGTATTTGGAAGGAATTGGAGACAGGCTGGCCAACGCAAAGCACTTAATACTTTTGCAGTCCAAAATCTGTGAAGGGTCAGGTCTGTCTAAAATGGCCTTTCTGTAAGTCAATCGGAGAAAGACAACTATCATATGATCTCCCTGATATGAGGGAGAGGAGATGCAACATGGGGGGTTAAGGGGGTAGGAGAAGAGTAAATGAAACAAGATGGGATTGGGAGGGAGACAAACCATAAGTGACTCTTAATCTCACAAAACAAACTGAGGGTTGATGGGGGGAGGGGGGTTGGGAGAGGGGCGGTGGGGTTATGGACATTGGGGAGGGTATGTGCTATGGTGAGTGCTGTGAAGTGTGTAAACCTGGCGATTCACAGACCTGTACCCCTGGGGATAAAAATATATGTTTATAAAAAATAAAATTAAAAAAAATTAAAAAAAAATAATAAAATAAAATGGCCTTTCTGCTTTATTATGTTTTGAATTTACTACCAAAATGTCTTGTCATTGAAAAGAAAGCAGTATTTATGAAGCTTTAAGTTACATGTTACTATGTTATGACAGATTTCAGAGAACTCTAAGGAGTTCCTAAACTGAGCTGTCAACCAATAACTAGAATGTTTTCTTATTTGTTTTTTTGACCACAGGTAAGGCCTATAGTTTTCAGCATTACTATATCAAATAAAATAGTTGCTCACTACTCTTACTATTCTGTAATTATTAGTGACTGAGTGAGGTGCTGGTCCTGTATACATTTAGTTATGTTTTTAATTAGGAAGGCTCAACTTTTCTGAATTGTTGTGAAGTTACTCAGCTAAATTTTTCTGCAGAATAACTGAGAACTTCTATTCAATTGAATAATTGAAAACATAATTAATACATACAAAGTTTAGATCAGTACCCCAAACATATTTGAATAAGTTAACAGCTTGGAATTTATTATCATGTATTAAATGCTATATGTAATATTATTTGGGGCTTTTTTTTTTTTTTGGTCAGTTATTTGTACCCTTGTTTCTATCATTTATCTCTGGCTCTTTGATGTTCTCTTCTTTCTCTTTTCTCCTCCTTTTTGATAACAAGTTTCACTTTGAAAATAACTGTGACTATTTTCCTAATCTGTTTCATTAGTTTGTTTCATCTCTTTCGTAGAATATTAAATGCTGCTTATTACATAGGAAATAATTTCCTTTGAATAAAAACATGCATAGATAATAGAGATTTTCTATGGATTATTCCAAATTTATATACATTGAAAGGAATACACATATGCCACATGTGTGTATACGCATATATCTGTATCTAAGCATAATATAGACATTTTTCAGAGGTTTCAAATGTTACTAATTAAAAAACTGGCCTCTTATACCTACATTCTAATGACTAGGGTTTTTTCTGTGACACCCATTTTTAAAAAGATGCTGTTTACTGGTAGCACAGGGACTGGAACAAAGCCTGGTTGCCCCAGATTAAAGGAAACTGAACTGGGCATCGGTGGCTGACTGGGCGGAACCAGCCAGAGAGTCGGGGGAGCTGGGGGGAGCTGCGGGGCGAGCTGCCGGCACTTCATTCCCATCTCTGTGGTGGTGGGATGCTTTCCCACAGTTTATTCCAATATTAAAATCAGTTGCAAACGTTTCATTGTAGTGTTGCCGCGACACAAAGACCATGAAGTTCTGCTGATTAATGCATTTTGTGGGCACTTTGGAGGCACATGGCTCTGCCTCATGCTTCGCTTCACCCCCAGATCTGCACTCATCAGCATTACTGCTCAATCTCTCTTGTCTTATTGCTTAATTATAGCAACGTCGGTGACTTTGCTGTAATGTATAGTTATTTCCATCTTTGACCCTTCCCCCTCCCAAAAAAAAAGAGTTTTCTGGAACTTAAAGGGTCTGATTTTTCTCTGCAGATATGGGAAATTTCATGGATACAGACCAGAGGAAAACGGTGTCTCAAGGACATGCAGTAGTTCTCAACTTACCACCCATCACCAGCTGCCCAAGACCACAAGTGACCTGGTTCAGAGAAGGGCACAAGATCATTCCCAGCAACAGAATGTAAGTCACTCCAAACTTTAAAACACAACTCATTCCACTTGTTGGCACCATTGACCTATTATTTAATGAATTTCACTGTATCAGTTAAGCCTTGAAAAGAATAATGACCTCGTCTGGTAGTCTTCCCCCAGTCCTTCTAAGCAGCTTTTTGGAAAACTTGGCTTGGAAATGTTTAAGCAGTTTAAAGCAATCGTCGTGTCATGTTACTCTTCGGGATGCTGCGTGCCCAGAATAAAGCGTCCTTCCTTAGTCGTTACGGTCTGTTTTTCCCTTTCTTGAATGCACTTTTTGAGGTGTCGTTGTCGTCCCTGAGTTGTGTTTAGCTCCAAGTACTAATTTAATGAGTGCTGGTATTTACTTACAGAGCTGTGGGGTTTTCCCCCTTTTTACTGAGCCACGTTTGATACTACTTTCTCTGACAATAAAACAGTAGTTACCGCTTATTTCTCTTTATCCTTTTATCCTACCGTGACAGTTTTATTTCCCTTCGTCTAATTAGTGGTTCGCCCATCTATTGCAGAAGAGTTGCTTTGTGATTAGTTAAGCATTATTTCAAGGTGTTCCTGCCTATCCCACATTCAAGGTATTTATCTAATGCCAAACAGATTTTCTTCATTTAGAGCTTTAAGTGATTAAAAAGAACATTTGGTATCTATTTCATAACTGGGCATTCTGCAATATAATTTAAAGATAATGTACCAAATATAAACATTTCAGGGATGAACATTTCTGAAAGAATCATGAAATGCTTATAAGCTTGGGCTAAAAGTCAAGTACTTACTCTGTCAGATGGTTGCACTCATACAAAAATTCATGAGAATTTTGTTTTGTTCTGTTTTTCTAAAACAGATATGTATATAAAATAGTTTGCTGGAAAGGTTTTAAATGTAACTCTGAAAGCCACTGTGAGATGTCAACTTGCTTTCTCCCCTACCTGCCCATCCATCGGGTCCCTTCTCTAAACCAGGCTCCATGGCTCTTCCGCCGGGGCCTCTGAACCTGCCTGACGCCAGACCATTCTTAGCCTTATTGAATACATGTTTCTAGTCTTGTTATCGGAACAGGAAAAATATTGAAGTGTATAAAGGCCATATTTAAAAATTTAGTAAAAGTACTAATTACAGTAGAAAGTGAGATAACTGCTTTCCTTTTTATTTTATAAGAGTTGCTTGGATGTCCACGTTTATATTGATTCCGATGATAATAAATGCCTCTCAAGGTAGGTGAAACAAAGAACAGGGATCAATTTTTCATTCTTTTAGAGGGCTGTTAGGCTGAACAAAAGGCGGCTGAGGTAGACTCTTGCAAAATATTCTGGAAGTTTCTACCATTGAGCGCAGTATGGGCTGGGCCAATTTGGGATGAATGCTAGGGAAGGGTGGGTGCTAGGGAGGGTGGGTAGATTGCAATAAGCTTCCTCTCCAAAGTTGGTGCTTCTAAGTAATGTCAGTGGGAACACAGTCCGTGGTGGAAGGATTTGTCGAACTCAGCAGCAAGCAGCTGTACGGCCTGTCACTTGTTGACTGGCCGTCTAGCCAGATTCACAAGGCAGCATTTATCCAAGAAGTATGGAAGGAGATAGAATGAAATTAACAGCTCTTAATTTTATAAACTTTTCTTTTTCTACTTGCAGATTCTTGTTAAAACCGTTCAACTCCTGGCTAGCTGCTAATGTAAAGATGCTAAGTAGGCTTTAACTTAGTGTCCCATCAAACAAATGATCTGCGAAGCTATTGATAAATCTCCAATCTCAGTAGAATAATGCACCGGTGATCTTTTTTTTTTTTTTTTCCTTAGGAGATGAGTTGAGATAAGATGAGATGAGATGAGATGAGGCTAGTTATGGATATTTCCACATTTTCAGGGCCTTTTGTTTCATACTTTCCACCTCATCATCACCCCCATATTTATTAAGTCCCTGCTGTGCAAGATGTCATAAATCAGTGCCCGTGTGGTTTTCTTCCTAAGTTTATATATCATTCAAAGATACATTGCATTACACTTCTAAGAAAGTTTGGCTTTGGATAGCAGTTGGGAGGGAGGGCATTTCTGCATGGCCCCTGCTCAGACGGTTGGCAGACAGGAGTCAGATGGCGTTAGATCTGTTGTGCACCACCAGAGGTATCCTTTAAAAACTGAAACATTTGGCTGAAAGTGTTTCACTCTAGGGAAACAGGTCAAGCTTCTATACCTATCAGTTCCCTAACACGGCTGTGGAGATGATCCATTGCCACGAGGAGGAGGAACCTCGTCTTGCCAGCCCCACCTCTTTACTTTTTTTTTTTTTAAGATTTTATTTATTTACATGAGAGAGAGAGAGCATGAGGGGGAGGAACAGAGTAAGAGAGACAAACAGGCTCCTCCCTGAGCCCCAAGCCCTATACGGGGCTTGATCTCAGGACCCTGAGATCATGACCTGAGCCGAAACCAAGAGTCGGACACTTAATGACTAAACCACCCAGGTGCCTCACCACTGTGACCTTCAGAATGTGAGCTTTTGGCTTACAATTAAATGATTTTTTTTTTTCATTTTCAAGGGAAATAATAATTCTAATGTTTCCTAACTTGAAAAGTCAGTTGAATTGCCTATTAATAATTTTAACAGCAGCTGTTATTGAGTACCTACTTTAAACACATCCTCCCTGATCCTCACAGCTGTCTTCCGAAGAAGTATAATTAGTTGTGCTTCTAGAGATCAGACCGAGGATTGGAGAGGTTAACCAGCCTACCCAAGGACACACCGCTGACCAGTGGCAGAGCTAGGGTTCTACCCCAGGCCTGTCTGGCTCTGAGTCTCATGCTGTCTTCTGCATCACACTAATTCTTCTTTTCACTTTATTTTGCCAAACCTTCTTGGTGCTTTTGATATCTCTTTCCCTATACTTCTTATTTTCCTATTTCTCCCTTTTTAGAACACCAGTCTTCAATTTGAAATACTACAGGTTGCCGTGAGCCACAGCTGCACACAGACACATTGTCCACCTAGCCCTGAGCCTGCCTACAAGTGTATTATGTATTTGATGTATCGGGTCTGTAAGTCCTTAACTTCAGAAGTTTTTAACAAAAGAGAAGGCAAACATGGTTATCCAGTTAAGGCGTGGGCTTTATGAAATTCAGAGGCCTCGTGGGAGGTAAGGTGGAAACGATGTGTGTGTAGCACAGGGTGGGGGGCAGCAGGCCAGAGAGAGCAGCTGCTGTGTGCAAAACCCAGCACCCGATCCCTGATAGCCTCTTTGTTCTTGAGCTACACACTTGTGGAAGGAAGAGGTTTAGATTGTGCAGCAAAAGGAGCAGCAAAAATCCATCACCATCCCAGAAAATTAGCTGAAGTGAATGTCCCCATGGTGGGTGTGAGCTGCTGCACATTCACGTCAGAATGAGGGTAAAGGAAAAACTCACGAAGTTCTGACTGCACTTTGGGCTTTTCCCCCCATTCTTTTGCCGAGTACTTATCGAGGGCATACCACATCCCAGGTGCTGTGCCAGGCACCGAATATGCAGCAGGAAACAAAAGAAAGTCCTTGTCCTCAGGAACCCTGTCTCCAAGTAGAAGGAAACAGATGACATGCCAGCTGGTGATAATAGTGAGGAGAAAATGAAGCAGGGGCGGAGTGGGGAACGCAAGGGTCAGCTGGGTTGCTGTAGATGTAAAATCAGAGAAGTTCTCTCCCCTAACCACCTCTTTGAGCAGAGACTGGAACAAGTCTGGGGAGGAGGCCTGGGGTAAACCAGTGAGAAGAGCACCAGAGGTAAGGGAACGGCACATGTGTTGGAGGAACAGCCAGGCCGGAGTGAGGGAGAGGGCTGGAGAGGAGGTTTCTGAGCTGGTTGGGCCCGATTCCTAGATGCCGGTGACTTAGCCAGAGTGAGGACTTTGGCATTTGTTCTGAGGATCCGAGCAGAGCAGCAGTGTGATCTCCCTTGTGATCCTTCTGTTAAGAATTCTGTGAGGAATGGACTATCAGGCAGCAGAATCCGAAATGAGGAGGCCTAGTAGGGGTTTGCTGCAGTAGCTCAGGTGACTCAGGTTTGGGGAGGGCTGGTGAGAAGTGACCGATACTGATATATTCTGAACGTAGACTGCGTAGGATTTCCCGCTGGATTAGCTGTGGGGTATGAGAGAAGGAGAGGAGCCATGGACAACTCTAAGAATTTTGGCCTTCGCAGCTGATAGGATGGACTTACCATCTCCTGAACGGGAGAGATGATTTGCAGGCTAAGCAAGTTCTCTGTTTGGGGGTGGGTGTCTAAAATTGGTTTTGTACATGTTTGAGATGCGTAGTAGATGGTCACGAGGATCCATTTGTGAGAGAGTTGTTTATATCAGACTCAAGGTCAGCAAAGAGGTCTAGCTAAACTTGGGCGTTGTTAGTATGTTCGTGATTTTTAGACCTCTTTAATGCTCCGTATGAAACACCTAAGTCAGTAAGCGAAGCCCAAAGAGTTCATCGTATCAGCTGAGATGCTCTTGGTCACAGGTCACAGAGGATGAGTCTGACCGAACTAAACAACCTTGAACTGGAGTACTTGAATTTCAGAACCAAGCCAGGAGAAGGATGGGGAGAGGGGGGGACCAGGGTGGGGGGATGCATACCGGGACTGTGCTCGAGGCCAAGGCGCAGGGAGCCAGTCAGCACTTTAATGGCTTCCCAGGAATGTGAGGTCCAATCTCCTGGAACTTGTAACTATGTCACGTAACAGGGCAGATGGGGAAGAAGGCCGCAGAAGCAGGAGGAGACTCGTAAGCTGGGAAGGTGGGACAGAGGAGGAAAAGTGAAGTCTTTTTTTTTTTTTTTAGATTTTTTATTTATTTATTTGACAGACAAAAATCAGAAGTAGGCAGAGAGGCAGGCAGAGAGAGAGGAGGAAGCAGTCTCCCCGCTGAGCAGAGAGTCTGATGCGGGGCTCGATCCCAGGACCCTGGGATCATGACCTGAGCCGAAGGCAGAGGCTTTAACCCACTGAGCTACCCAGGTGCCCCAAAAGTGAAGTCTTAAGAC